CCATCTCCCTGCTAACACCCCTGATGGTGCTGCGTGCTTGGCAGTGCTCCCTTTCCAGGCAATGCAACAGGCTGGAATTGTCACACACCACCAAAAAGACACTTTGCAGAAAGGGACTGGGCCAAGTCTTGCCCCACATATAGGGTAGGAGAGTGCTTTGTGGGGTTTCTGGGCATAAAACACAAGAGTGTGCAGGGTCAGGAAGCACCCATGCACAAGCAGCCCTCACGGGCAGTCCCACTGGGTCCCTGCCACTCCCTCTGTTAGGATCCCTGTGATCCCAGGCAGTGCCAGCCCAGTCATCTCCTAATGTCCCAGGGATGGGGGGAAGGAAGTCTGGAGTCCAAGACCCAGACAGTAAAAATCCCCCTTGGCCAGGGAAAGGCCAGCAGGGAATGTGACACTGGGATCTCCAGAGGCCGATACCAAAAGAGCAACACAGGGACAAGTGGGTTTCCCAGTTTTTTTTTGCCACTGCAGAACTCCCAGACCACTCCCAAGCCCTCCTCAGGCCACCCGCTTCTCCAGCAGTGCCAGCACGAGTGCTGCCCCTTGCTTTGCCTCTTCCAGCAGCCCGGAGACCTTCTGGGACATCTGTGTGGGGACAAGATGTGTCGTTTACTGCTCAACAGAACACAGGAGCCATCCACCATCCACCCCATGCATCCCGCTGGTGGCAAAGGGAGGGAGTGCCCGGGCACGAGTGGTCCCAGGGGCTTCCTCTCTGTCCCACCTCAGCCCCACCACCAGGCCTGGGGCACACACACAGCCCCTGCTTATTACCACAAGCTTGAACTTCTCATCCGTTATGTCTTTGAGGTTGATCATGACATTGAAGTAAGCTCCAAACACAGCTGCTTCCAGCATTTTGGCTCCCACCTGGGAAAAGACGGGCTTGCGAGCAGCTCTCCTCATCAACCAGCACTGTGCTGCAGAAGAGCAGACCCCTTACCCTGCAGGACTTCCACCCTCACCCCCAGAGGCACAGAACACTTTCCAATCTGGTGGCATTCTCAGGATGTAGCTCAAACAGTGGGAAGCATTGCCACACACAACAGGAAACTCAAGCAAGGGCTGGTGGAGGTCAACTCTCCTACAAGGAGCTGTTTTTGCAAGCTGACAAATAGTGGGTGGAAAGCACTGGGCCTGTTTGGGAAGCACAGCTGGACAGATGCTCCCTGCAGGTCAGGACATGAGGACACCTTGCAGGGCAGAGTGTGAGCCTGGGGCCGTACCTGGAGGTCGGATTTGCAGGCCAGGTTGCAGTGTTGTGTCAGTTCCTTCAGAGCAGGCCAGAGCCCACTCACCTTCTCTGCCAGGGCATAGGGCACCCTCACGGCCGTCTTCAGTCCCTGCTGCATGGCAGCCGTGCGCCTGGGAGGGGGGACAGCCCTGGCTCAGTGCTGGGTGCCTGTGCTCCCCCAGTCTGACAGTGCCCATCAGCCCAGCTCACCTCTCCCGCTCTTCAGGGGTGCTTTTTGGCAGCTTCATTGCTTCCTGCAGGCAAAGAAAAGCAGGTTTGCTGCTGTCACCAAGGCCATGCCTTGCGTCAGGGGCTAGGGCACACCCCAGAGCTCCCATACTCTTGCAAACCTCCTTTATGTGATGATGACCCTTCCCCTGGGCCCGGCTTTAGCATCACTGGATGTGTTAAAAAAAAGAGTAGACATGGCATTTTACCACATGGTTTAGTGGCCATGGGTGCACTCAGTAGAAGGTTAGACTTGATGACCTTGGAGGTTTTTTCCAACCTTAATGATTTTATGATTCCAAGGTCACAACCCTGCTGCTAAGGATACTAGAGCGCAGCGATCCCAGCCCTCCTTCCAGCTGGAAAGCCCCCCCTCCCGCAATTCCCTGCAGGATGTCTGCCTCTAGCCGGATCTCACCATGTAGCTGCTGAAGGCACGGGAGTCAGCATCCACCATTGCCACCAGCTCATCCATGGCCTGGTGGAACGACGGGATCAGCTTCCTCATGATGGGGTCCAGGTCCTCAAACTGCCGCTTCCCGTAGCTCATCAGCCCCACCATGCAGCCCAGCGCTGCTCCCTGCGAGGGCACAGGGACAAAATCGTCCAGCAGGACATAGTGCCCACTGCCACCACCATGCCGGCCCCCCCTCAGGGGCTCCACACACCAAGTGGGTCCCCAGGACTCCCCCTCGGTGTGAGGAACATACCAGGGCACCTGCAGCTGCAGACACGGAGCCTCCTCCCGGTGCTGCCGACCTCCCACCGACTGCCCGCACAAAGGTGCCCAGAGGCTTGGACACCAGCCCCCCATCCACCTCTCCTGCCTCCACCAGGTACCTGCAGGACAGCAGCCCCAGGGTTTAGAGCCCCCCAGATGCAGGGACACCACCACTACCCTCCTCCCCCGGCACTGCCCTCTCTGACAGGTTGTCATTGACCTCATGAATGAGAAGATGGCTAACCCAAAAAAACCCAGCATAAAGGTCAGGGAGAGGATTGGGAACCCCATGGGGACAGCTGGGGAACACATGTCCTGGTGGTGTGGGGGGCTGCTCTGGATTAGACAGGGTGGGCTCATGCAAATGGAGTTTTGTGGGACAGAAACGCCTGCAGCCAGGTCCTAGGGGGGACAACAAGTACTTCACCTCATGAGTGGATTTCCCTTCCTTTTGCCCCTCAGACACGTGTTTCACACCATCTGCTGCCGCACAGCATCTCTCCTCAGAGAGCAGCGGGTGAGCCAGAGGCAGTGAAAGTTGGCATGGGGATGGAGAAGGGAATTTAACATTCCAATTTGGTTACAAGACCTGCTCCCACTGCCTGCTCAAGTGACCTGGAGTTCCCCCACTCCACATTCACAACCAGCAGCATGTGGGAGCAGGGACCAGGCCACGCCTACACAACACCCAGCAGAGATGTCCCCTGGAGGTGACCAATGCTCCCAAAAAAGGCCGAGTGCAAGACAGAGGCAGCAGGATCCCCCCATCCAGGCAGGGATGGGCACCGTGATACGAAGCAAGATGGGGGTCCCTACTCGATGATGCGCTCCCGGGGATGAAACGGAGACAGGGAGTCCAGGCCCAGCCGACTGACCACCTGCAAGGAGCAGCACGGCTGTGTCAGCCCTGTCCTGCTGCAGCCTCATTCCCTACTGCTAATTAACCACGGGTGAGTCAGCATTAGGACAGAGTTATTTTGGCCACCACCCAGAGAGAGGACAGCTAGCACCACCACCCTGTGTCCCATCCCAGACATGGGGGAGGCATGTGGTCACCTACAGTGACTGGAAACTGTACTGATTAATCATTAACTTGCTCTTATCTAGCACATTTCCCACAGGCTGGAAAAGTCCCTCCCTCCTGCAGTGGAATAGCAGAGCCCTGTCTCCTCATTTCCTGCTTACGCTTGTCCTGGAACAGCTTTCCATAATGCCACCCACTGTCCTTGAGCTCTGGGGACACCTCCTTCCCCTCCTGGTCTCCAGGCAGGCAAGATGGGCAGCTGCTCCCCACACTCTGTCCTCATGGGTTGGGGTCCCTGCTCCCTGAGCATTTCAGCATCCTCAGAACAATAAAGCAACTTGTCTCACTCACTGTCCCCCCACAAAAACCTCCCTGAAGACAAGTGTCAAGCCTGGGGCCTGAGTGGTCCCAAATCTCTGCTCAGTGCCACTTTGGGATGCTGGGGGAGTGGATGTGTCTCTCTCATGATGCCACCCTTGTGTTGGTACCAGGAGGAGTCATGTTACCAGCCTGATCTTCTGTTCTTCCTCCAGGATGAAGAGTTTTTCCTTCTTGATGTAATACTCAGCTGCATTCAGCATGGCCTTCTTGGGAACGAGTCCCACCAGCTGGGACCCCACCACAGGAAGATTCAATGCCTGCAAAGAACACAAGAAATGTGACCATCCCTAGAGCCCTGCTGCCACTACGACCCCAACCTGGTGGTCCTCCTCCCTTCTCAGGACATGGGTAGCTCATGGAGAAGCCTTCAATGGAGGAGCTGGGGGCTAGCAGCAAGTTGCTGAGCTTTTGGGGGTTTTGTGCCATTCAGCACTATGGCTGAGCTAAGCATGAGCTAAAGCAGACCCTGACCTGGGGACAGGGAGAAAAACTTGGAGGGAGACATCCTCTGTGAAGCCCCCACTGGAACAAGCCTCCCACACCACCCACCTCTGCGTCCTGGCAGACCTCCTCGTAGACAGCATGGAGCGGCGTGGTCTCAAAGTCCAGCAGGTTTGTTGAGACCTGGGCTATATTCTCCTCCTCCAAATACCAGCCGATACCCTGCACCTTCTTCAAGCGCCCGGGCTGCCAACAACTGCCACA